AATGGTTTCTTATTTGTCATTGATCAAATCCCAAAATATTAGTATAATCATGGCCAAATCAAACAAAATATTGTATAGTATATTTACTAAAAATATAGTATTAATTATCGCTTTGAAAAATAGTAATTTTTATTGGTTTTGTCTATTCTCTTGTTTTTTCCTTTGTAAAATGGAATTTTTTTAATTGTTTACCAAATTATCATTTTGCCTCAATGTGCTTGTTATTTTGCCATTTCTTTTATTCGTTTACAATTATACATAATTTTTATACTCTTTTTTTCTTGTTTTCCCCGAAAAAAAATAGAGAAAAAAAGGTAATTATAATGATTTTCTTACTAATAATTATTAAAAAATAAACCAAGTTTTATCGAATTTTGGAAAACCCAAGTGTTTTGTTATTCTTTTATCGATACATGTTTTTATATTTTGTTCTTTAGACTTTGTTGGGTCGAGACTTTTATCAAAATTAGTTGTTACACGTCATATTTTTCTAAAATTATTTATATGATTTTCAAAAAATATATATTTTGTATAATATAAACAATTTGTTCTTCAATTGGAAATTTAATAATTGATTTTTTCAAAGTTTATCCAGTTATCTAATTTATACAATCACATTAATCTTCAAAATGAATGAAAAGATACAACTTTTTAAGGTTAATTTTTTGATAATCGACGTATTTTCAAGTAAGTCACTCCAACGATAATCGTTTACAAACTGACACATCATGATATCATGAAGACTTGAAACTTTAACTTATTATCTTTTTCTTCAAATTTGTTTATTTTATCATCTGTAATTAATTAAAATACCAAGTTAAAATTCAACTAAATTTTAATGATCAACATATTTACTTGATATTAACAATTAATCGAATTACTTTATTAAATTAGACTGAATTACGTCAATCATATCTAAAATGTATTTTAATATAAATAATGAAATACATTTACTCAATATTTTGATACTATCAAAAATGTGAAACTGTCGTTTTTATTTTTTAGTGTTAAAAATGATTTTCTTTGTTTCTAAAAATAGTAAAAATAATGACGATTTTATGGATAAAGAAAAATAACAGGGAGATAAAATAAATTTCAAAATATTAAAGAGGTTATACACTTTTTTGTTTCAATTTAACATGTAAATTATTATTTTTCATATAACCACACCAAATTGAAATATATAAAATTTAAATATCTCAGGTAATAATTGCATTTTTACCTCTAATTGAAGGGAATGACGAATTAATGAAAAGAGTTTTTTCTTTGTCAAGTGATTTTTCAGCCTTCTGTATAGAGTTGATGGAAAAAAGTCCGGCTTGATAAAAAAGTATGGCTCTTTATTTGACTATAGTAAAATATAATATTGTTAATTATAAATGAAAAACATTTTGTTTTTTCGAAAAAAACAAAATATTAAAAATAAATTAATTAAAAAGATAAAATTATAAAATTATATATGGAAAAAGAAATTGAACTCGTAATGAATGAATTTGTTATTTTGAAAAACAAAGTTGATATTTTAAATACAAAAACTGAAATTGAATTGCAAAGTGCTCAATTCGCTTTACTAAATCAAAAACAAATGAATTACTACAGAGAATTGATTGAAAAAAGAAAAACTCACGTAAACAACATACTTTTGTTACTCAAAGGTATGGAGCACAAATTAATATATATTTATTATCAAAGATAACCGAAAAGTGTTTAGACATTAAAACAAAAAAAATGAAAAGTGGAGAAATTCAACAACGGAACAGTGGCGTAACATTGTTTATTCTTCCAAAGAATGCGTATTCAAAAACTT